GGGCACCTTCTGAAAACCAATTAAGGAAACCAGCTAAACCCAAACTAATTATCTGATAATTTGCCGTTAATTATCCGTGAAAAGAATAATTTTGGCGCGGACATATTTTAAAAAATATCGCGTGCCCTGCTACCTTCCACCAATTAAGAAAACCAGCTAAACCCAAACTAATTATCTGATAATTTGCCGTAAATTATCCGTTGTTTATCCGTGAAAATAATAATTTTGCCGCGGACATATTTCAAAAAATATCGCGTGCCCTGCCAACTTCCGTGGACGCCATGCGCGAGAGAGAGGAAATGTTTTCGTCTCTTATAGACAAGCGTGAGCAGGAGGGAGTTAGCAAGTGCTTAACAAGCCCAAACATTAGCTGTCGGAGGCGACGACATAACTGTACGTTTACAAATATATGTACCAGGGTTGTTGCGAATATTCGCATTCGCAACCGCGGAGCTTCCACATTAATTTTAACATTCGCATTCGCTTTCGCATTCGCAAAAATCAATGCGGTTCTTTTGCGAATGCGAATATTAAAGGGGCCGAAAATTAAAGTTATTTTTTTACGATTTAAACTGGGCCAAGTATTTTTTATTCCGAAATAAAAGTACTTTCCGGATAATAAACAAACCGCTTATCCAAATTAAAAAAGTTTGGTATCCAATGAAAGAGGACTTGAATAGCTTTAAAACTGAAATATCTAAAAGAGGAAAGCCACACATTGAAAAAGATTTCAATAAAAAATGGTAATTAAATACCATAGAACATACATTGGGTCATGTATTTACATGAATTTCTTTAGTATCAAGTTATAAAAATATATAAATAGAGGTAATAACCTTCATTCGTTATTTCAGTTTAAAAGATATTTCAGCCCTCTTTCATAGTATACCAAATTTGTTTTATTTGGATAAGCTGTTTCTTTATTATCCGGATAGGACGTTTATTTCTTAATAAAAAATATTAGGCCAATATTAACTCGGAAAAAATAACTGTTATTTTCGGTCCCTGGAATATTGTGCAAGTGCACAGACGTATATCTAACCAGTCACAGAAGAAAGCATTAAAAATTAGTTATGAAAACTAAAACCGAAAAACGCTGATGACGTGACAAACTCTGAAACAACCAAAAGGATGAGAATGAAGAATTCTTTCGAAAAAAACGGTGTTTAAACAACTATTGTGCCATGATGCTAGATTGTGAAGATGAAAGTCAGGAAGATACATCCGACATTTGCAGCCCCGAAAAAAATTCTCAAAACGTAATTATTGCACCGCAATAAAAATAAATAAATATAACTGAAAGTCCTCTCCTGCAGAGTCAATCGAAAAGAGTTTACAATTTTTCAAGTTTGTCGCCTCGAGCGAGTAGTTGTATAGTGCCGCAGGTTTGATTTACGACCCTTCAAAAAATTTTTATTAAGTACAATGTTCCAATTTTTAAATTCAAGTACTAAAAAACATTCAGTCTTATCATGAGTTTAATTTTCCCCGAACCGGTGCACTTTTCACTTTTGGTTTTCATGTACATATTTACTATGGGCGGAATACAAATTTTCGGGTGAATTTGTTTTCGGGCAAAACTGAGGATAAGGCAGAATTTTAAAAATTATTAACCTTTCCATTTTTTATTTACCTAAATCACCTAACTTACCCACCTAAATTATTTCTTAAAAATACATGACATCCGCATTCGCAACCGCATCCGCGGATGTTAGCATATAAACATCCGCATCCGCATTCGCATCAGCGGATGTCTAAAATTCCACATTCGCAACATCCCTAATAATAGATACATACATATGCGCTTGGAGAAGGAACAACGTTTAATTCCATGCGAGAGAGAGAGATAATTTTTGCGTCGCTGATCAGGACTGCCAATTTGAATTAAAGCGTGCCATTGTTGTGTTCGACCGAATGTTCGATTTCGGTTTCGCTTTGACGGTTAACGGACAATATTTTCATGTTCGTGTAAATGTTGCGCTTCTGCGAAAAAATAGACCGTAGATTTTGACTTCCACGGCAAGATTATTCTTTTCACGGATAAACAACGGATAATTTACGGCAAATTATCAAATAGTTAGTTTGGGTTTAGCTGGTTTCCTTAATTGGTCTTCAGAACCACTTCTTCCGTGGAAGTTAGCAGGGCACGCGATATTTTTTGAAATATGTCCGCGGCAAAATTATTCTTTCCACGGATAATTTACGGCAAATTATCAAATAGTTAGTTTGGGTTTAGCTGGTTTCCTTAATTGGTTCTCAGAAGGTGCCCTGCTAACTTCCACGGAAGTTAGCAGGGCACGCGATATTTTTTAAAATATGTCCGCTGCAAAATTATTCTTTTCACGGATAATTTACGGATAATTAACGGCAAACTATCCGAGAAGAATTTTTTCTTTGAGAAAAAGTTGTCCTGCCAACTTCAGAGAGGTGATTTCAACACTGATAGAGAAAAAATTTAAATACTTAAATACCTTCTGCAGTTCGAAAGCAGCGGGAACAGCGGGCCCTTGTATTGTGCGGACACAAAGCAACGTATTTATGAGCTCTAAAAGTTTCTGTTTTGTTGTTTTTTATTTTCTTGTCTAGTAATTGTCGTCGTCTATTTAGTTGTTTAGTTGTCCATTATCCTATTAATAATCTCTTCCCTTTCTTCCTCCATTTCAGACGGGTTCAACCCTAACGCCCGAAATGTTGCTGACAACGTCCGAGTCATCGACGTACAGCGCCTCCGAAGTAGCTGGCCGTCTACAGGTCGACATACGCACCGGGCTCAAATGGACCGAGGCTAAATATCGTTCGAAAATTATCGGTCACAATGAGTTGAATGTGAATGAAGAAGAACCCACATGGAAGAAATATATTGAACAGTTTAAGAATCCGCTTATACTGTTGCTGCTGGGAAGTGCGCTGGTTTCAGTGATAATGAAACAGTACGACGATGCTGTCAGCATAACGATAGCCATCATCATAGTGGTAACAGTCGCCTTCATACAAGAGTATCGCTCGGAGAAAAGCTTAGAGGAGTTGAAGAAGCTGGTGCCACCTGAGTGTCATTGCTTGCGCGAAGGACAACTCGATACGTTTTTGGCGCGTGAGCTAGTGCCCGGCGATGTAGTATACTTGAATGTAGGCGATCGCGTGCCCGCTGATGTGCGACTCTTTGAAGCGATTGATCTGTCGATTGATGAGTCGAGTTTCACAGGCGAAACGGAGCCGGGACGCAAGAGCACCGAACTCATATTGAGTAGCGCAACCAACAAAGATCACACAAATATGAAGAATGTCGCTTTCATGGGCACGCTGGTGCGTTGTGGCAATGGCAAGGGCATCGTAGTCAGCACTGGCGAGCGCAGCGAGTTCGGCGAGGTCTTCAAGATGATGCAAGCCGAGGAAGCGCCGAAAACACCGCTGCAGAAATCTATGGACATACTCGGCGCACAATTGAGTTTCTATTCGTTCCTCATCATTGGTGTGATTATGCTGTTGGGCTGGCTACAAGGCAAACCACTAACCGAAATGTTCAATATCAGCGTTTCGCTTGCAGTAGCAGCCATACCCGAAGGCCTACCTATTGTGGTCACTGTGACGCTGGCACTCGGAGTGATGCGTATGGCCAAGCGAAATGCTATCGTCAAGAAATTGCCTACCGTGGAAACGCTCGGTTGCGTGAATGTCATTTGCTCGGACAAAACAGGTACTTTGACGAAAAACGAGATGACAGCAACAATCATCATCACATCCGACGGCTACATGGCCGACGTCACTGGCGCAGGCTACAACGACCAAGGCGAGATACACATACGCAATTGCAACAACGTCGAAATGGCCAAATCTAATATCACCAACTTGCTTGAAATAGGTGCGGTCTGCAACAATGCTTACATACAAAATGGCACGCTGCTCGGTCAGCCCACAGAGGGTGCACTCATCGCTGTTGCCATGAAGAATGGCATGTACGCCACGGCGGAAAATTATGTGCGCATACAGGAGTATCCTTTCTCCTCTGAGCAGAAAATGATGGCTGTCAAGTGCATACACAAATACAATAATAACAAGGAGGAGATTTTCTTTGCCAAAGGCGCATTGGAAATGCTTTTGCCACAATGTACGAAATACATGTTTGGCACGCAGACTGTGCCATTAACGAAGCAGAATGAGGCGGAATTCCTAGCGGAGGCATACGAAATCGGCCGAAAGGGTTTGCGTGTGTTGGCATTGGCCAAAGGACGCAGCCTACAGGATCTTATTTACTGTGGTCTTGTGGGCATCACCGATCCGCCGAGGCCGTTGGTGCGCGAATCCATTGAGATGTTGATGCAGAGCGGCGTACGCGTTAAGATGGTCACCGGCGATGCACAGGAGACCGCTATGGCTATTGGTGAGTGGAGAATAAAAATATAAAATGATTGGTATTTATTATGTTAGTATTTTTATACATATGTATATCCCTTCTTGCTGCACGAATTGTGAATTTCACGTGGTCCTTAACCGAAAAGCTTATCCGCTTTGACAGCGACCAATGTACTTAGTAAAATCCACTTTTTTCTCTCATAAACTTTGGCACACAGAAAAATTTCTTAAAAACATTGAAGTTTCTTTCACTTTCGCCTTTAAAAACTTTGCGTGCAACTCATGCAATTTGCGAACGTAGGCATGTACGCTTTTGTGCCCAAAAGTATGTAAACAAATTTGCGTTGTTGAGTAAACTTTGATTTATCAGCAGCATTTGAGTCGACGAGACCGATCAGCCACATCGTTGTAAGCGACTGTAATGTCACCAAAATCATTAAAGCTACAGTAAACACTCTAACTACCAGCCTTTCCCTATAATTGTTGAATTTCTTTTTGTGTTTTCATACCACTACAGTTATATCTGCCGGAATTTCGTTCAACAAAATTGATATAGCCGAATTTGTAGACGATTATCTTCTGTCCGCTTCGAGCCCCGTACACTCAAATGCATTTCATTTCGAAATGTGAACAATTTGGAATTTCTGCACATACCGCAGTTACAGTAATCGTTGTCGAGTAAATCACTTTAACCTCAATTTTTTCCATGCTGCAAGTGGTAGAAGGTGCCATTTAGCTTCAACTACAGTGGAGGCCACATCAGATTAAATGCATTTTTGTGTATTCGCTGCTGACACGCTGAAGCGGTTGGGTGTACCAACAAAATTAATTAACTATGTTGGCATGCGACTATGTAGGATGCAAATGTGAAATTCAAGGAGAGAGAATGTTGACCAAGATGTGTATGTGTAATGCCATAGATAGATAGAGATCTGGGTTAAGGAACGTGCAGGTTTAGAGAAGTGAGCAATAAGAGGTGGTAGAGTAGCTGGCAATTTAGGAGAACTTCATAGTGAGGTGACTACCTAGCAGCGGAGGAAGTGATGAGTGAAACAGATTGCAGAACGGTATTAGAAGGACTAAATAGCATATTGTAGAGGGATGTTGGTAAGTAAGTGCTGTCTTTGGAATGGAAACTAGTATATGTGGAACATAATGTGAAAATTACTTAGATGAAATGATTACACAAAGGGGGAGAAATAATATCCCAATGATCTGTTGACAAACATTTGGTAAATATTTAAGTAAATACTAGGAGTGCCAGTTACTGTGGAAATTCGACCGTGTTTATAGTTTTGTATTAGAGACCTGGGGATGCTTTCAAAGCTAGCACGTCGGCAAAGTTATAAGGCACAAAATTACTCAAAATAAAATCTCCTGCTTTGGAACTAAAACGTCACAAAAAATTTCTATGTATTTTTTTTTAATATTTTATTAGCATTAGAGTCTAACGGGCAACAATTTTCCCATAACCAATGTTTGGACCTTCATCTGAAGTATCTGAGATTTAGAGCCGCACTCTGTCAAATTAACGAAATCTACTGGCACTAGCATACAAATGTCTATGAGAAAATGCAGATCGTACAAAAGGCGGGAATGATTGAAAACTGTGTACGCTGTAACGAAAATGCCAAAAGAGTTCCAAAATGAATACGGTGGATTAATTTTCGCAAGCCAATTGAAATGCCGGTTTAAACTTCACAATCTAAGAGGTTTTTATGCATTTGTTTTACACGCATGCCAGTACCATTCTCCAACGCGTGGGTTATCACGGTCCACTACTGTTCTTGCGCTTAACACTTAGAAATTGTAAGTTTTCGACTTCATTCTAGCCTTAACCGATAGCATCACAACGATGCTGGGTCTGAGTAGATCTGTCACTACCCACATGCCATGAAGGAAGGTTTGGGTGTTGTGTGTCGGTTATCGAAGCGGAGGTTGTGACAAAAGAGAAAGTTGCGGACGAAGTGCTTGAAAATTAAAAAAATTTTGAGGTGGTTAGCACATATTCTGATAACCAGGCGGCAATCAGGTCCTATTGATGATGCATTCTAAAACGGTCATATAATGCTGATCTCATCATATTACGTCGCGCATTTGGTTTCCAGGCCATGGAGATATAGAGCATGGCCGATAATATAGCGAGGTCCTTCTGGTCACTATGCCCGTCTAAGGAGCTTCTGAAACTGAAAAATCACGTCTTGTTACTGGTGGGAGCTTTAAGAGGCCTTTGTCTAATATCAGTCCATGTAGTAGGGTCGAACATCACTTCAAGCCCCTACTGTACCAGCTGTATGAAGAATAATGAGAGGGATGCATTCCGAGATCTACTAATCAGCTGTCCAGCTTTCGCGCGCTTAAGTTTTCAACACTTTGAGTTTCATTTATTTCTTATCGCAATTCGCTTTCGATCAGTTAGCCCAAGCTAAAGCTCACCGATGGAAAAGTCTACCTCGCCTACTGATTTTTACTGCGCTAGAGTCGAAATTTTTGTGTTAGGTTAGATTAGGTTGAAGCGGTTGCCTTCATCCAACGTAGGAGAAAGGTACACTTAGACCCAGTGGGGCCGTTTCGATACCAATTGAGAGCTCGAGTTCGAACCCGTCTGTTCACCTAGAAGTAACTATTTAGAACCAGTTGGTTATGTTCAGAAAGCATAAGAATTCTTGAAATGAGCGTCTTCTCGCCCACATAAGAGCAGGCCAGTGACAGAGGTAGTGTTCCACACTCTAGATTTCGTCCACGTTGCGGCAACTACGGCAGAAGTCATTGCCCGGTAAACCCATTTTGCTAGCATGCCTTCCCATTAAGCAGTGGCCCGTAAGAATAACGGTCACCAGCCTTAGTAAAGGGCGTTATAACCGAACGAGTGCGTCGGATCTTTTCTTGTCGAGTCTGGGCTAGATTTGTCGAGTCGTTCAACACGTGAGTTCATCCGACCATCTTTTATTTGCCTTCTCGACGCAGTATGTTCTGAGACGTGGCTTGCAGGTAGATAACGGTTTACCCGCTGCATGAGAGGAGTTGACATCAGACAGGGTTGTTAATTTCCACGCATGCTCGTCCGCTGCACAATTACCTTGAATGCAGTACACTTTGAAGCTTAATCATTAAGGACTTTCCTACATTCTATCGTAGTTATTGACGATGTCTCACAGCAATCCAGTGACTTGATATCTGATTGTATATCGGAGTATATTCATAGTTACTGATGGCAGGTTAAGTGAAGATTCGATAAGCCAGAGTGCAAGCTATTTTATAGCTGCGAGTTCTGCTTGGAAGCAGAGGTCTAATGAGCGGTCCTTCGAGTGTATCCCACTCCCTACTCTTAGACTTAGTTTAGAGCCAACCATGTATATGGCTGTGGAGTTATCTTTTGTATGAGCTTTTATTATTTTTATGTGGTTTTCAAATGAGAACATTGTCAGTTTGTGGCCACTTTGTAAATGAAAAATTGGTTAACCATGTAAATAGAATAAATAGCCAATGCTCAACCAAAGACAATCAAAAACGTATGTAACTAACTAGCCAGCTTACAAAAGCACGCTGCATACAGCTAGAGCAAAAGTAAGCTGCTACAATTGTTTGCCTAACCATTCTGACTTTGCTTAGTGACATAGCAAATGGAACATGAAATGTGCACGACTTTTGACTGGAGCAAGTCCCACTTGGCACAAAATGCAAATTAAGTCATAGTGGATTTTGTTAGTTCTAAAGTTTAAATTAACTGTAACCAAAAGTTTCGGTGCTTGCGCGCCCAAATGCATGCTACGAAAATTTAATTCCATTGTTTACCGAAGACGCTGAGGGTATAAATGGCAATGTAGCTGGTATGGCAGCAGCGTGGATGTCAGAGACATGCTGGTTGCTTGTGCTCAGTGTAGTCAAGCATACATTTTTTTTAAATCTATTTTTCGTGATTTCTTTTACATGCATTTCTGGTTCATTGATTTTTTATTGTTTGCTAGATTTGTACTTCTGCGCTTATCGCTTTGCTACCAGCGCATTTTATGCTCCTTTTTATACTCATCATTTTTCATAGTTATCAGCGTGTCACTTAACTGTTCATCTAACATTTGCTATTATTTTTTTTTCTTTTCTTTGCTTTGCTCGATTGTGGTGCGGGTTGATCGCTTTATTTGCTATAAAGCTGCCACAAGTGACTGGTCTGTACCACTATATGCGATGTGCTTTCCTCTGTTTTAGTTATATTCCATCCTTATTGGTGACTGAATTAATTAACCGAAAGGGAGTCTGCCGCAAACTTCTCTTTGTAGCCGCAAGTAGTTATCAATCGTTACTGTCGACCACATACATACATACCTACATATGGACATATGGACATGGTACCTACCATAACCAACAGACAAATCGTTTTCGTACGAGCCAACTAACTAAGCACACGAACATAGATTCAAGTTTACATGCTTCTTCTATTTTAACGTATGTATATTTACAACTCCATAGGACATACTCGCACCCAAGTACAAATGTACATATGTATGTATGTTTGCTTGACTGTCGCCCAAGCGAAATGAATTATAGCATACCATTAAACTTTAGCCTGACACTCGACTACATTTTCTCAATGTTCACTATGTTAGGTCGTCTAGTAGACCACAAATCTACAAATACATATGCAAGTATGTATGTGCCTTAGACGTTCTTCTTCTTCGTTATCTGCCATGCTTGTCTTTCCTTGATTCTCCGATAGCCGGCTATATTTTCTCCATAGCTGAACTATCGCCCTACTAAGTATGTATCACCAGTTGTCTGCTATGTCTCGTTACTTACTCGCAGATTCCCTAACAGCCTGTGTGTCTGCTGTTAAAATTTCTGAAATTCCATTTTGTCTTACCCATTCTCCTTGTTAAATGCATAAGCTGCAAATTGATTTTTAATTCATTTAAATTTTCGTTAATGCATTTTGTGGTACCGCTATTAATTTGTCTCTTGTCGCATTTAAAAGCTAAAATTTTTGTTGTTGCTATGTACTTAAATGAATGATAATCCCGCATTATATTCGTG